TGCGTCCTGATGCACTTGTCTGTGATGTCACACGTCCCCGCCTGCGTCCTGATGCACTTGTCTGTGATGTCACATGTCCCCACCTGCACCTTCCTGCGTCCTGATGCACTTGTCTGTGATGTCACACGTCCCCGCCTGCACCTTCCTGCGTCCTGATGCACTTGTCTGTGATGTCACACGTCCCCGCCTGCGTCCTGATGCACTTGTCTGTGATGTCACACGTCCCCATTTCTCTTAGAGGTCTCTGGGCTGATCCTCTTACGCACCACAACGGTGGCCCGGTGTCTGCTTCCTCTCAGTTGTGTTCCATGTGCCTGGCGATGGTGGACACCTGTGTGGGCCAGCAAGTGAACGGCGATGGGTGAGGGCTGCTCTCAGGATGACAGGAGCGTGCGCTGTGCAGCCATGGGGCTTGGCACGCACACTCTGGGTGTGCTGCTTCTGTGGCCTAGGCTGGTCACCTGATCGCTCTGAGCCTTGTTAACAAAGGTAGCACCAGGCTTCCGTGAACATGAGAACCAGAGGCCCTGGTTAGCAGGTGAGCATCCACAGACCTTTCATTTCAGCTTGAACAGTAGCTTGCAGGCTGCCTGGAAAACAAATATTTGTTTTAAACGTTGCTTGCTTATTGGCGGATTCTGTAAGTGTCTTTTCTTGGAGTAAAGACCCCCGTCTTCCCAGGAGACAGTCTCACAGCAGAGCCCTGCCCTGCTTCCTGCTGCTCTAGAGTGGGACAGAAGCGAGGGCATCCTGCGTCTTCTGCCTTAGCAGCCCGCTTTGTGGTTGTATTAGAATATCCTCATTTCACCAGGCTGAGAAGGATTTCTTTTTTAATCATTAGGAGGAAAGCGGTAATGCTCAGTTTCATAAAACCCTTTCTGTACTTGATTTTCATAAATTGGACAGATATTCCCCCCCGTAATTAGATCCTTTCCTAGGCTGTCTGGAGAGTAAAGAAGCAGCCATTCACGACGACACACACAGAGCGTCTCTCCTTTGTTACATGGTGCTTGACAGTTTTCTGTCTTGGGGCTTTGCTCATTTCCTTGGCGACTTCTCCTACCAGATCCTCTGGAGGTGACGTCTCGGTTCACGGCTGACCAGCAACAGCAGAGAAGCCAGCGTGCCACGGGTTGTTAGTGCACAGGTCTTAGATTTCTGGCTTTTCACCATCATTTCCGAGTCTGGTTTTTGCCTCGGCCACGACGCCTGCAGCTTGAGAAAAGTGCTTTTTGCGTGTCGGGTCAGGTGGCGTGGCTGTGCCTGTCTGTGCGTGGGGAGATTTTTACGTCTCTTTAGTCACTGAATGTTTGTCGCTCCCCGTCTTCGTGGAGGAACGACACAGGACCCTGCGCTGTTCTTTTGTCTGCTCGGCCCTCCCCGGGTTTGCTGCTGGTTCTTCCCGGGTTGGCTACCGTCCCTTCCACCTCCGTGGAAGGGCGGTTCCCCCTGCCACTTTCCCCACTTCCACGGGGGAGCAGCACACCGCCGGCCGGCTCTCTCGGGGGCTGCTCAGGTGTTCCTCGTAGATGTTCCTGGTGCATGGTGTCTCTCTCCTCCTTTATAGTCCTCTTCCACCAATCCCAACTCTGCTACCCACACGCCGAGTACGCTGCTCTCCTCCAATCAGGAGCAGGATCAGCTCCTGCAGCTTGTCAAGTTGGTGAAAGGCAGCTGTGTAGAAGCTGTTTCCTCCTCTCCCAGCGCCATATTGTGGGAGAGCAGATGCATAGAATAAGTCTTAATTCCAGTAACTTAGTCTAGTCCGAGTTGCTCCCAGTTGCTCCCCACAAGTGTTGACTGAGCTTTCAGAGGTCAGAAGCCATGTCTTGGTCTTGCCCTAAGTACAGACTCTGGCTCCCAGTGGCTTCCCAGGGAGCTTGCAAAGCCACAGGGGAGAGCGGATGGCACGGGCGCCTGGCAGTCAGCACTGAGCCTGGGTGGCTGTCGCCTCTGCTGCCCACAAGGGCTGACTCCCAGGTGGGAAGGAGCGCCCAGGAGCCGCCAGCAACGCTTGGGAGATGTGGGGCCCGTGCTTGGGGCCAAGGAGAGGGGGACACGATTTTGGATTTGAGGAGGTCAGAGTGTGGTCTTTGGATATTAATAAAGCGAACCTTTGTTTCCTTGGGCGCTTGGGAAGTGAGAAGGCAGGGTCTCTGCGGGCTGTCAGAGGAGGGGAGACAGGAATCCTCTGGGAACCCAGACCCCGAGGGAACCCTGTTGACACGCAGGCCAGGAGGGTGCTTTGAGGTGGCGGCCGGTGAGCTGAGACAGGGACTTTTCAGATGGGACTGGAGGGCTCACGTGGACATTTCTCCAAAGAGGACTCAGAAGTGGCCAGTAAGCAGGTGAGCCAGGCTTGGCGTCCCCGGTCGGCAGGGAAATGCAGTGCAGGCGCAAGCACGCCGAGCTGCCGCTTCACACCGTTTGGGTGGCTCTCACCACAGAGGGAGAACATAGCCAGGGGAGTCAAGGGCGTGGGAAGCAGAAGCCTTGGGCACTGCTGTGGGGTCGCATCACGGGGCAACTGGTGGGGAAAACAGTGTGGCGACTCCATGAAAGGACAATGGGTGGACTAAGCGTAAGAGCCAGGAGACCACGTCCCAGTGCATCGCAGGGTCTCAGTCTGTACACCAAGTAGGCAGGCAACTCCAGCGAGCCTGGGCTGATGAGCGATGCTCATTCATGCCCAAGAAATGGGGGAGTGGGACGCAAGCTGCCACGTGGGCGGACCTTCAGGATGCTCCGCGAGACAGGCCAGACCCCGCAGCGCAAGTGTGGCACGTTCCACTTGCACGAGGCTCCCCGAGGCGTCCACCCCAGAGAGGCGGCAAGTGCAGGCAGTGCCAGGGGCTCGGGATTGGTGTCCGCTGCGCTCAAGGGTCAGCTGGGGAAGCAGAGGGCCGCTGCAGTGGGGGTTGTGTGCCGGAGAACTGCACACCTGAGCACTTGCACTGGGTGCGTTTTGCCGCCATGAGAACACGGATGAGCCAGCAGGGAAGTGAGCTGGCCTCCCGCGTTGCCCCAGGGTGTCAGGTGGTAAGCCTGTGTGTGTGTGAGAGAGAGGGGGAGGGAGGGAGGGAGGGAGAGAGACACGTACACACAGAGACACAGAGAGAGATTTGTGAGCACCTGCCTGTTCTGCTACTGCATTTCCCCCTCCCGTCCTCAGCAAAGCCTAGTGAGGTGGCCCTCCACTGTTGTCCACAAGGGACAGCTGGGAAGCCGAGGTTGAGATAGCAGGACGCTGTGCCTGGCATCCCAGAGCCCAAAGGGCAAACCAGAATGGACCAGTGCTGCACCTGCCCCGAGCTCCGTACCACGCTGCCTCCCCCAGGAGACCTCTGTCCTCAGTGCTGTGCCCTGTCTGTGACACATGCATATGCAGACTGGTGCCTCTGAGAGCAGCCACGTACCTGTGGCTGCCTCCCCACTGGAAAGAAGGAAGAACAAACAAAAAAGCGATAACTGCAGGCTAAATGGGTCTTGCTGGGGAGACTGAAGGAGAAAAAGTGGCGGTGGGAGCTCAGGGAGGAAGGCAGGGAGCGTGGCTGCGTGTTGCTCTCGCCAGGTGCGTGCACGCGCTTCCGTCTGCACCCTTGCATGTGGCTTGGCGGCCTGAGTGGGTGGGGCCGACTGCTGGCCTCTCGCTCCGAGCTCATGCACTGTGCTTTTCTGGAACATGCTGCTGCTGCGGTCATGAGTGAGCAGCCAGTTGCTGGTGTGGGCGTGCTCTCTCAGACTTTCCCGGACCGGTGCCTGCAGCGTGGCTGCGCTGCTCCGTCTGCCTGGAGCCCTCCCTCCTCCTCGTTCCCTGACACTGCTGATTGTCGCTGTGCTTTGCTGCTGTAGGTGTGACCAAGGCCTGGCCCACGGTCGTGGAGGTTTCCTCCTGTCCTGTCTGATCCGCAAGTCTTTTTTGGGCAGGGCTGGATCATAAATGCTTGAGGCTTTGTTCTGGTTGTGACCATTATGAAACGTCAGAGCTCTTCTGTGCTCTCTGGCCGAGTAGAACAGGCTGAGGTTCGGATCCGGCCGGTGGGCCCGGGCCTGCCGGCACCATCCTTGGGTGTTTCAGTGGCAGGAGGAGTCCTTGTAGTCAGGAGTTGAGCCGGTGGGATTGCTTGTTGCTGGGGACCTCAGCTCCCCCACAGGCCTCCAAGCTCCTCTCGAGTTGCTGTGGGCCTCAGGGGCAGTCATGAAGCCAGGAGGCAGCCGGGGACAGATGGTAGATCCTTGCCCCCAGCTCTCAGCAGCGGCCTGGGACAGGGGCTCTCCACACCTCGACTTCCTCTCTCTGGTGACTCTCTCTGGGTGCCTGCTGGACTGCTGGCAGGGCCAGGTGGGACTCTCATCCCCGTCCTCTGTGGTCTCCGGCAGGCTGTACCTGTGGCGCAAGGGCCTCCCCCTTTTCCTGCCCTCCAGCGGGCCTGGCCACAGCTGCACCACTGAGGCGCTCTCTGCTCCCCCACCTGCCCGTCCTTTGTGCGGGCGCCCAGGAGAGGGTGAAGAGCCTGGGTGGGGTGGGAAATGTGCTTCTGCCTGGGCCCCGGGTGCCCCTGCTCGGCCTTGGGCAATTCCTTCCTGAGGAGCCACCCCTGTGTGGGGCAGCTGAGGCACAGGACCTGCCCCTCCGGGAGGGCAGTGCACCCACCTCTGGGTGGGCTCGGGACGTGTCCAGTGTGTGGAGCTGGCTGCCTTTCCACGCGGTGCCTGCTTGGTGGGAGCCCCCACCCTGCCCCCACTAGACCTAGGTGGAGGTGAAGTCCATCTTTTCTCTCTGAAATGCCCTGTCCCACGGCACGGGAAAACTTGGGACTCCGTGCACCTGTGCGTCTGGGCTGACTTGGCTCAGGAAGATGGTGCCGGGCCTGCCCCGGGAGCCAGAGCAGCCGGGTGCTCAGGACAGCAGCTGCGGCTGAATTTATCACGGGACCCCTCCCGTGGGATCTGCCTCCTGGGGAGTGCTAACTGCTTTCTGCCTTTCTATGTCCTTCCAGACCCTGGAAGCCATCCTGAATTTCAAGTACTCCGGCGGCCCGGGCCACGTGGAAGGGTACTACAGGAACCTCGCGCTGGGGCTGCACGTGCAGGTGGAGCCATCCGTGTTTTTCACCCGCGTCAGCACTCTCCCAGCCACCAGGTAAAGGAAAGAGCCGCGTCCTGCAGGCTGAGCCCGCGCCCCTCTCGGGGGCCGGCCTGTTGCAGCTGGCCCAGCCTCTCTGGGACGTAGGACGTAGGGCCGTCCTTAGAGAAGCAGGCATCCTGCAGGGAGCCTCTTGCCTGGGCTCCTCTCGTGTGGAAGCCTTCCCTGCCCCTGCCCGAGCCCAGTCCTCACTGCGGCTGGCTCCCCTCCAGTCTGCAGGGGCCTTCGCACGGACCACATGCCTGGCTTCTCCTGAGATGAGAGCTTTGGTCTTGGGACTGAGTCCGCTGCGTCTCCTGCAGCTCCTGGCCCTCTGGGGCCTCGGGCCCCGTACCGGGAGCATTTCTTGCACACAGCACTCTCGGGTTTACTGTCCCAGGCCTGGTCCTCCCTCAGGGAGCAAGGAACTGAACATGCGTCCCCCGCAGACAGAGAAGTGGGCCGTGATGCAAGGAGTGCCGTCCTCTGAGATGGGGTAGTGACAGTTTCTCACCTTAAACTTTGACCTGGGTATGGCAGGAGGAATGGAGTCCAGGAGCCCCTGGAGACTGTGGCAGGTGTCCCAGGAGCCAGGTGTCTTTGGGAAGCAGGCGCTGGTCACCATTGAGTTCTTCCAGACTCCAGCTGTGCACAGCAGGGCTGGGTGTGACTTCTTCCTTAATATAGTTAAGGTGGTGGTGAGGACAAGGGTGTCCTGGAACATGGGTGGGCAGGGTGGGGGGAGAGAGAGAAAACCCTGTGTCCCATGGTGTAAATGGCTCTGTATTGAGGCCCGTATGAATTCTGAGCTAAAAATGCCACTAAAGCACTACAGCCCCAAATGCCCGGTGTGGTTTTGGCGTACAGGAGAGACGATCACTCTTCCCAGCCGTTGGAGAATGGCCTCGGCAAAGATTAATGGTTCCGCTGGACCTTTCAGCATCACCTCTCATCATTTATCACTTCTTCAGTCCTCAGAGTAATGGTCTTTCTGCCAAGACCTGCCTCGGTTTTGAATTTGTGTGAAGCATTACGGTACCTGCCCCCGGGGAGGAGGTGGCCAGGCCCGCTGCCAGCTGGCGCTGGAGTCTCCAGGCCCCGCCTGTGCGTTAGGTCGGCTCCATCGTAACCCGGGAGTCTTGGCACTCCTGCATCTCCTGCTGCTGCTGCCCCCAGTGGTAATTTCTGGAAGCGGCACAGGCTGTCACTACGGCCTTTCTCCCCTTTTCTTACTGATATCTGGCTTCTGCATCACAGCCTCTGCCGTTCTGGATGACAGTTTAAGGTGAGAAAGGCACCGCCGAGCGCGTTAGTGAGTGCTGCTGGATCCTGACCCCTCAGCCTGCACACCTCCCACCCTTGTCCTGGGGCCCAGGCGTTTCCCTTCCCTGCCTTGGGGTTGAGAGTTGATTTCTCCTCCTTTCCCCCATTCCCTAAATCTAGTGGGTCACCAGATCCTGTGGCCTGCTCTCTGCCCGCCGGGCCCGTCTTTGTCATCCCTGAAATGCAAGTGCTCCGCCGCGGGTCCTGTCGGGGGTGCGTGCCCTCACAGTGCTCAGGGGAGGTGGCAAGGCCTGCGTGCCACGGCCAGGGTGTGTGCAGATGTGACCGAGACCTCCCCTTCAGCTCCTTTCGCCACATCGCAAGCCACGGCCCCTGGGGGGCGTCCAGCTAACTGTTGTTTCATGGAACCCTGCCCTGGGCGAGCTGTGTTGCCGTTTCTGTGAAGTCCTCCTGAGCGTGACTAGGCAGACTGGGTTCTTTGTGTGGGTTCCCCTGAATGCTCCTCATACTTTTTTTTTAATAGTCAAAGAGAGAGAAATGGAGAGAGAGAGAGAAAGAGAGCGCCCCAAGTGCCTGCAATGACTGGGACAGGGCCAGGATGAGCCAGGAGCTGGGAACTCAATCCCGGTTTCCCATGGGTAGCAGGGACCCATCACCTGCTGCTCCCCAGGGTACATGTCAGCAGGGGTCTGGAGTGAGGAGACAGTATTCAAGCCCGGGCACTGCACTGTGGGACAGCAGACATCCTAAGCGCTAGACCAAATGCTCACCACATTGCATGTACTTTCAGTAAATACACACCAGCTTGAGTTGGAAATACTTTGATTTGTTCTGTAAACCAACAGGTGCACATTTCAGGTGTTATGTGAGTCACTCTCTGGAGTGAGAGGTGGGTGGAACACAGTCCTCATTTAGATGACTGTTGCCTGTTTAAAGAAAAAATCATATTATGAAAGTGTCTAGCATGTGTACAAGTAAAATATGTGATGAAAATGGGTGGTGGGGAAAGAGAAGTTCTTGTGTTATGTGTGAAGTGTTACAATGTTGTTTAAGTTAGCAAATGAAAAGCCAAAAACACATACTGTAAACTGTAGAGCAACTACTTGAGCTATGGGGAATAAGCCAGAAGATATAGAATGGAATTTTAAATAATAATTAATCCATAAAAAAGGAGGAAGTCATTTCAAGAAGGAAGGAGGAAAGAACAGAGGACACTAGTCCAACAGGACAGCGACGGCAGTGTGGAAGACTTGAACCTGCTGTGTCAAGGATGCTGCGGGACTCAAACAGACTAAGCTCTGCATGTGTAAGTGGAGGTTGTCGCCTTGTGCGGGAAGGCAGAATGTCCACTGTGCTTTTCACAAGGAGCGGGCGTTCAGTATGCATAGAGCAAAAGAAAAAATGAGAGAAAAGGCGTATCACGCAAACACCAACGTGAAGAGTGTTGGCATGGGTGTGCTAATATTAAGCAGGCAGACATTGTGGGGTGGGGAAGGGAGACAGGGGAATACCGTGATTGAAGGATTGAGTCACTGCGGTAGATGACAGCCCTAAGTACAAGTGTATTTTTAACCATAATTCCAAAGTAAAGCTGATGAACTGAAGGGAGACTTAGATAACTCCATCATTATTGTCGGGTATTTCAACATTTGTCTCGGTATTTGGTAAAAGAAATAGACAAGAAGGTCCATAAAATGTAGAAAATTTGGACAGTGTATTAACCTGTGTGATCTAATTGATACTTATGGAATAGTAAATGCTTGTTTTAGAAACACAGAATGGCCTGAAATCAGTGGTCAAGTTTCTGCATCAGATAAAGAGCAATGTAGCCAGCATAAACAGAAGGAAAAATAAAGAGCAGGAATCAGTGAAACAATTTGTAAAAAGAATATATAAAATGAGTGAAATTAACTGTCGAGGTTTTGAGAATCTATGATAAAGTTAATAAATTGTAGCTAGGATGAACAGGAAAAAACAGAAAGGATTGATTACCAATACTGAACATTGAAAAAAGCATCACATGGATTCTGTAGACTTTAAAAGGATGATAAGAGAATATTGTAGAAAATAGTATTTCAATAAATACAGGAACAGTTTCGTGGGGAAAGAAAAGTCTTCCTAACAAATGATGCTGGAACAGCTGAACGTGTCTCTGAGAAGCAGGGAAGCAGTGAACAGTCACCTGAACACAGCACTGTCTCCCCTCAAACTCACGTGTGACGCGTTCTGGGCCCAACAGTACCCCTCAAGCTATATGTAAGCCTCCTCAAAGACAGCATAGCATGACATCCTCGTGGCTCTGTGGCAGAGATTCCTTAGGTGGGATCAGAAACCACTAACAGTGAAGTGCAAAGTCGACGAGGTCCGTCTCATGAGAGTTCGGAACTTGAGCTCAGGCAGCAGCAAGCTGCACGCTGGGACCAAAGGTTTGCGCTACTTTTATGCAACAGGGACCTCGTGCCTAGTGTTAGCACACATGTGAAATGTTGACATCCACACATAGTGCTTTCATAATACGCATTCTCATGAACTTTTTGAAGACCCCTCATATATGGATTTAAAAATATTTTGTACCCAAATTAGTTTTTATTTATATATATGTACACACACACACATAATTTATTTAAGAGATGGAGAGCAAGAGAGGAACAGACACATAGTTCCCATCACTTGTTTGCTCCCTCAGCAAATGCCCAGAGGAGCCAGGAGCTGGGAACATTATCCTGATCTCTCTTGTGGGTGGCAGGAATCCAGTGAATTGAGCCACCCTGGCTGCCTGTCAGGCTCTGCTTTGGTAAGCAGCTGCAGTCAGCAGCTAGAGCCAGGTATTGAACCAGGTACTGTGACATGGGAGGGGCTATCTTAACCCCTGATGTGCCCCCTGAAGGTACCCTCTAATTCTGTTTTCCATGAACTTTTTGAAGTGCCTTCGTATTCATCCTTGCAGAACTAATAGGATTTTGCAACCCTGCTGATGGGAGGGATCGGGGGTGGGTGAATGGCATTGTATTTTTGACTCTCTCATTAGAATTTGGGCCTTGTTCAAGTCTGGAGTAGGTGGAAGTCCTGTTTTTCTTTGTGACCAGTATAAACTGCACGGCTGGTGATACAGCAGAATCAGCCTGCACTCTGGGCCCTGGGTGAGTGTAGTTCATTGAAGTCGTGTGGCTGGTGTACTGTGATTTTCTTAATTTTCCATTTTGCTCAGAGGTGAGGATCTTTCTTTTTGCATCGTGCCGTGTTAGAGCTGGCCACGTCCCCAGAGATGGCCCGTTTCTACACGTTTGCATTAGGAGTGAGGCCGAGAGCTCGCTGGTGACGGGGCTGGTTTGTCGCCAGCTCAGCCTGAAGGTTAATGCAGTGTGCAGAGCCAGGTGTGTGCGGACTACGGCCGGTTTCGTGTAAGCAGGGGCCAGTAGACATGGGAGATCACTGTACTGCGGGCGTGCACAGAATGGCACATTCTTTTGTGAAATGCATGTGGGTATGGATTTTAAGTCGGTGTACCTGCTCTCGTGAATATTGACGATTTCTGCAGTTACTTATTCGTTGGGAGTGTTTACCAAGACAGTCTTCTGGAAGTCCGAAGGCAGAGTATCCAGTTTGTTCTGAGCCTTCCATGTTCCAGGGGTGTCCTGGATGTGTTGTGTTCCACGTGCCATGTAAGCTGCGGGGGCCTTTGAAGTCCTTGTAGCTACCTGCAGAGGTGAAATAGCTCACGTGTGGTGCAGGTC